TAATTGCATGTAAAAGTCTTGAATGTAGTGTAAAGTAGCAAATGTAAAATGAATTTTTGAAGCAGATAAAGTAATATTTATGTAATAATATCAGCATATTGGTATTGTAGTTGGTTGAAGCCATTTTATTTTCAGGTGAACATTTTGTTTGTAAAATCTTAATTTAGCCTGCAAAATAATGAGCAACCATAGCTGTCAGATTAAGATTAAACAGAAGTTTAAAGTAGCTTGAAATAGAAGTGCTCAAGTGCAGGTAACTTGTAACTACAGTAAGTACAGTACTTAAGTAAATGTGCTTTCCATCACTGGGGTGTTTCCAGTGTGTGTGTGTGTGTGTGTGTGAGAGAGAGAGAGAGAGAGAGAGAGAGAAAGAGTGTGTCTGTGCGTGCAGCCCCTACCTGAGTAACTATCCAAGTTAGCAGGGGTGCTTCTGCTGTGAGCGGGGCTGTCAAGCGCAGGGGCCTTCTGCGTCATAAGGTGACTGACACGTTGGGCAAAGTGCACCTGATGTAAGATGATCTTGTCAAAGATCCCAGAATTCAGAGCAGCGCCGCCAGCAAATCCACAAGTGCAAATCCACCACTGTCATTCATTTTCCAGCCATTTGCATGCCTGAAGTTTCCCCAAGCAGCCGCGGCATTCACTGTGTCAGCCTGCTGACGTGTGACTGACGCTCGAGGTCGACTGTTAAATCGAGGAGCTCCTTTTGAAGGGAATCTCGGTGACCTCTGTGTGGTTTGAATCATTTTCTGATGAGCAGTGTACAAATCAACAGTTTAACCAGCTCAACCATGTCCCAAAGCTTTAACAGATGGCGCTGTGGTGTCCACACACACACATACACACACACACCCAGGACATTCTCAGTGACTGATGTGTCATCATGTAGTAATGATACCACAAACAAGATGAGTTGGCCGAGACACTGAGCGCGCATCAGATGTACTCATATTCATCATATTCATCATTCCCTCTCCCAAAGGAACTTGTTTTGTTTTGACATGTTGATAGTGAGAGAATATTTTGTTCCTCTCTGGCACCCATTGAGTCCTACAGTGCACTGTGGTATTGGTTATGTATTTAATAACATGCAGTGCATGATGCTTCTTGGGTGGCAGTACCAGGGACTTGGCGAGGTTTGATGTCAAGTGGATGAAACATGTCACTGTCAGCAGGAAGACACTGCCACCTAGTGGGCAAAAGGCTGCACAATGTAAAGGTTATTTAACTGCTCATGACACCAGTGAAACTGAAAGAGCAGTTACTGTTTGGCTGGAAGATATTTGATTCATAGCTATTTGAGACATTACACAGGGATCTGCTCTCTGCAGCTACTCACTGTAAACTGTATTTGTTTGGTAACGCTTTGTTTAGTCAAGGGTTTATCCTGTATAATCATTTTTGGAAGGCAAATGAACATGAAAGTAATGAGTAATCAATGTAATGAAAATTCCCCTTTTGTCATACAGAAACCATGTTTTCAGATAGGAAAACCAGACGGGTGTTGTTAGGAGGTAATAAAGTGATTGGATAATTGACTAAAAATACCATGAAGTATGTCGCAGACAAAACATTTTCATTTCTCTAATTATCGAGTCTGCACACAGGGGGGAAAATCTGACAGTGAGCTGTGGTTTCGACTGATCTCGTAAAGTGAAACAGCACAATAAAACATAATGTCACTGCTTCATGAGTAATACGATTTATTTGTGTAAACACATCATCACTAAGGAAATAACCCCAGATGCAGATGTTTTAAATCAGTCTGCACTTTAGCTGTGTAACCACTCAAGCAAGATGTAAATCTGATTTTCAAGAGAAGTCATGTTTACTGAGAAAAAAAAAACATATTCCCAAACACAACAGCAAAGTTTGGCAAAGCAGTGATGTAAAGTCACTGTCATTTGTAATGAGTAGTCTACTGTTATTGACTGTAGTCCTGTTTAACATTTCATATTATGATTGCACATGATTACCTGGACACAAAGATAATAAATTACTTTAATCTAAACTAACAGTGGGTTTATTTCATCCAACACATTTCAAAGTATTTTTGCAAATAAATTTATTCAAATACAATAACATAATAACACATAGCAATGTTAAGTTTAGTACATCATCTGAGTCACTGCAAGTTCGGGCAGCACTTTGGTCAGTGTGAAAAAGGTTGCCCAGGAACAGACTCCATTATTCTTCTGATACTGAAGTGCCCTCTTGTGGAATGATTCAGTAACTGCAGCACGTGGAAGGAACCGTATATCCAGTACATTAAGACTGTTTTCTGATGTTAACTGCATCCCCACAAAATGTTAAAGCAAGTATCATAGAGACTTTAGTTAGATCCTGTTTTTACAGTCCATTTCAGATGATACTTAATCAAAACATTATGTTGGTGAAGATTCTCAGTCCCAGTTCATGGTAATCCTAAATGCTGTATCGTAGGCAACTGGACGTGCTTGAGTTTCTTGTAGATGTTTCATCTCTCATTCAAGAGGCTTCTTCAGTTCTCTGAGAACTGAATGACAGACTCATTCCCTCAAGATGCACCGCAGGGCACCACAGGAAGTCATCCCTGCCTGTGGTCATTAACCTGTACAACTCCTCCCTCAGAGTGACAGTCGCTCTGAGTCAGTAGACTGGCATCTGGACCTTATTCACCTTCTGAATTTATAATATAATATAATAAGTATCTATTGGGTGCAATTACTCAACTGTGCAATATTTTTCAGTATATTACTTTGTCATGCACGTAACTGTACATATGTCCTATGTTTACTTTTATTCTATTGATGTATATACGGTAGTTAAATTTCACGCTTACAGCCTTAGCACAGTGGCAATATATATACTGTTTTTAATATTTTTATATCTTACGTACTAGTGTTAAACACTGTCACATAATGCGCATTCTATTTTTATTTTTTATTTTAATGTACATTTTCATTTCTACTCTATTGTCTTTTTTCTTTTTTTATTGCTTTATGTTTATATACCCCTATTTCATGCTCTTATTCTCACATCTTATAATTATCTATTTCTTAAACTGGAGCAACTGTAATGAATCACAATTTCCCCTCAGGGATCAATAAAGTATTTCTGATTCTGATTCTGAGACGTCTTCAAGAAGCTTAAGCAAGTCCATTTGCCTGTGATACAGCATTTAGGATTAATCGAAGCAACTTTTGCTGCAGATATTTGCTTGCTTGTTGATCATCCTGCCACACTGCAGTGGAAATACAAATCTAGAGAGTTAAATTACCTTAAGTATAAAAAAGGGATATTTTTCACCACCTACTCAGCTACCACTGAGCATGATTATGTCAGGGAATCTGAATAATTTAAGTTTTGTAAGGCATTGTGCAATATTTGATCAAAACAACGTGTCACGAATAAAAGAAAACTGACACCCAGCCACACTGCTCACTACACTGTTCTCAGTTTTAGGGATTTTCCAGTTTGGAAGTGTTATGGCAACTCCGGAAACCTGTTCTGTTGTCTCAGTTTACAAAGACACATGGATATATTCTTTAACTGTTCCATTTAGCTGTAACCTCACTCCCACTACAAGCAGCTTCACCAGTCAACTGATTATTACTATTGAAATGTCTGATTAAATGCTAATCAAACCCTTTTTTGTAATTTTTAAAATAATAAAACCAGTACATTTAAGTCTTTCTTTCATATATACAGCTTATTTGCCTTTAAATATACAATTCAATACAATGAAAATTTTCGGTGTTTCGGAGTTAAAGGGAAAATAAATAAAGCAAAATATGGAGGATACAAACAACCAATACATTCACAGTATAATAATGATAGAGAGGAAAAAAAGGAAAACCTAAACAGTTGAGGAGATGTGGGCCAACTAATAGTAGAAGATAATGACTAATAAGTTCTAATATCTCATAAACTGCACACATTAAAATGACAGTATAGTTACAATCTCCCATCTTCTATAAGCCATATTTTCTCAAACATATCTAGTACATTTAAAAGTCTGTGAACATTTCATATATGTACTACTTAAAGTCACTTTTGAGCCACATATGGATGTGATTTATGAAGCATAACAGTGGCATGAATCTGAACTGTAATATGCATATTATATTGAACGGCATCACATAATTTGTCCCACGCTGCATTCAGCTGTTTAACAAGCTCTGATCACATGCTCTGAAATCGGCACTTTTTGAACTTGATGTCCGTTATTGATTTCCCAATGATGATGCTTTTTATGATGTTTTATTGTGTTTATATGGTGCTTATGTTTTATGTTCTACTGTTGTTGTTGATTTGTTTTTGAGATTCTCTTTTGCTCAGTTGTGCACAATAAATTCACCTTAGTCAAAGTCGAGTCAAGTCATCTTTATTTATATGGCACATTTAATACAATGTAAGCTCAATGTGCTTCCCGCACACACTTCTTTTCTGTGCATGGAATACACTTAAGCAGACTGGAGAACAAACAGGACAAACAAAACAATGCTAAGAATACAGCTACAGATTTAACAAACAAACCAAAAAAGACGAATAAATATTACAATTGGTAAGAAAGAAGATCAAAGAGGGAATGGGTTCTCACATAAAAGAACTTCACAAACAATACATGGTGTGAGGTCACTCCCCACGGACTTCTATGTGCGTCACACACAACAGATATGAACAAAATAAAATAAGGCATTAATACATAGAGGGCAAAAAAGGTCTCATTCATTCGTTCAGTCATTATTCCTCCTTCGGTTATGATATTGAGCCACAACTATCCACAGTGCTAGCTTTTATATTCATGTTTATTATAAAGTATTCCAGATAAATTGTATTACATTTTAGTGTTTCTCCCCACATGGGACCACCACTCCCACCTGTCATAGCCTTTGTGAAGAGACAAAGCATGGCTGAAATGTAATACCATTGTTCCAGGTCTGTTCTGTTCTGTATTGTACAAAACTAGGGCATTATGATATTTCGTCCCAGAAACACCTTTCACTGCTGCTCTTACCTTTCTACTCACTATGACAAAGAGGACAGCTTGTTTGGGGGCTCTGCAGATGAAGAGGTGGACCATAGATGGTCGCTTGCTTTTCTTACTGCTTCTTGGAGCTGTATTTGTTGGTAAGCAATTTAATTTTGGATCATTTAAAAAATAATATAAGGTCAATTAAATAACAATTCTAAACTTTTTATGTTGTTGTGATAGTGCTGAGCACCACATTGTGATATTATAACACAAGTGCAGTTATTGTTCTTGTAAGAATATCTATAATATAAATGTAACTTGCATTGTTTCTCACTATATTTGACAATAAGATTCTTTAAAAGAGTAAGTCATTAAAAATACTGTGCAGCCATTTGTAATTTATGTATTTTTCAGGATCAAATACACCAAGTTGTGTTTCGCCAAAGCGAGCACAGCGGTAGTTACCAGCAAATCCCAGTTACTGTCAGCCATGTATTTATTTTTCCGAACCCTGCTTTGACAGATGTAGAAGAAGTTCACATTTCTCTTCTGTTAGAAAGTTGTGTTCTTGGAAATGGAAATCACAAAATAAAGTGGAGGCACACAAGTTAGGATATAAAAACACTCCCAGAATGCAATTAACATCACATTGTGATATGAAACAATGTAAGTTCATGTATACTGCAGGCTTTTGTCTTTAAAGAAGCTGGTTACTGTCACCTAAAACAGATTTAACAGTGAAGTATCTTCACTACTGTAGTCTCCTTATCAGTGTGTGTTTTCTCATCTGAATTTCAAATCTCTACTGTTTAAACTGTTTACAATGAAAATCCAACTAGAGGTACTGTTTTGCAGTGTTCTGTTGGTTTAAACTTACACTGAACAAAATGTCTCAGGTTCCTGGGGAGAGTCTGGATCAGAGAGAGGTGCCGCCTCCAGGTCATCAGAGGATCAACCACTCCTGCAGCATTCCTTCACTCCAGGTTATCAGTGTTTCTTTGTACTTGCCTAAAGGAGGAGACAAGGCCAAGTTAATATCAGCATATTTCATCAGCACACGTGTTATATAGTTAATTTTTAAACTGTATTTAAACTAGAAAATCATAATCAAATGTCCTATCTTTTTGGTAACGTGTCCACAGACTTGCCAATGCCTCTGCAGACTCCACGTGACACCAACATGACAGAAAACAACGTCAGTAGTAGAAGAAGAAGCTCTTCCTCTAATGACACTGAAGACTCTGCTTTGCCTCCAAAGTTTCTGACTGCAGCTCATCTGTCTTCTCTCAGAGACTTGGTGTCGGACAAGAAAATAACAGGTGGTGAGATTTTACCACACCTTATCACTCAACTCAAAATGATGACATCAAAAAGTCTTATCTGTGAATGAGATAAGTGTTATTTGCAAATATTTAGTTTGTTTCACTCTGCTGAAGTGTCGCATGAGCACAAAGCAAAATCATCAACACTGTGCAGCATTTTAAAAAAGAGAATTCTACACAAGGGTTTGTCTACCTCCTCTTAGTCAATTGAGAAAGGCAGCATCTGAGTCGTACCAGCTCTAGCAAACAGTGCACTATGATAACACTGCTGTATAACCTTTGGTGGAGGGTGTATGCAGGTATACAGGGTATACCCACCTATTTTTCTGGTTGTTTACACTATCTAGCTAAAAAGCCATGGGAATATATAGGAGAGTGCACCATTTACACCTCTGTAACCTACCAAGCTACCTAGTAGTGCACCTGCCTCATGAACTCCCACTACAGCACTGTTTGGTGGTGGGGACAGATGGTGTACCCTATAAAAATATTTAACCACAAGATGGCAGCAAAGGAATGAGTTTCAGCTTTTGTGCTGTCTTTTTAAACCTGAAATCATTTGTGCCAAAGGTACTGTGAGTAATCACTGTTTCATTTAAGGTTATATAATTCCTGTATGGGTGTAAAGTTTGCACTACATCAAAACAGGAGAAAAAAGTTAGGATAATAATAATAACTGCTGTGGGTTGAGTGATGTAAGAGAAAAAAAACAGTACTCAGGTAGAGAGAAATGCTGATGAACAGGTCCAAACCAGGGTTGTAATCACCTGTTTAACACTGGGGGCGGGGCATTTGCAGCCTACGCCCTCTGCAACCCAACCCTCCAGACTTTTAATCAAAGTTTTATAGTACTATGACTTTTTATGATATTTTTATGGCATACTAACACTTCACAAGAACATTCACAGTTGAAAGTGTAACACTAACCCAGCACTCATATTACATGCTAGTTTTCCCCTTTTTAATACAATTGAAAGTAACAAAATAGAGAGTACAGCGTTTGACATGATTGTAAATCAATAGCTTCTGCTGGGGTACGGCAACAACACTTGGACAAACCACACAGAGAGCTGCCGTATACCACAATATTAGAACCAGTAGTAATAATGATATTGGCAATTTGTGAGCTTATTTATTTTTTGTTAGCTTGTCTTACCACTTTTTTAATATATTTTTTAAATCAATATACTGAGACATTTGAGAATATTTGAATATTAGAGGGCGATATGGCTTCCTCAGTATATATTGCAATAATAGCCAAGGAACAGACACTTTTAATATAGCAGCTGTGGCCATGAAGGAGAAAGAGGGCAGAATAACACCAACAACTCTCCATCATGGGACACTAAAATCTTCACTAACGTCACTGAAATTATCTTGTGTGTTTCTTTTGTTATACTCTAAAGATTCCTAAAGGAAAGGACTTTGTGTTGCTGCATCATAAAAACTGATGTGACCCGACTCCATAAAGCAGAATAAAAGACTCTGGGATGTACAGTATTACCAAGTTAAAAGATTAATTTGAACATGTGAAATATTGGTGAACATCTGTCAGCGTACAAAAAGCAAAATGTTGATATCTGATATTTCATTTAAAAACAAAATCAGCAATATATCAGTCAGTCCAGTATAACCCAGTCTGCAACAAATATTTTCCTCAGGTCTTGGCAATCTGAAGCCATTTCAGTAAATGTTACTGATCAAAGATGATAATAACACCATGGCTTGTTTTGTATTATCACTATAATGCAATTTTATATGAGATACTTTTTTTTTCAGTACGTCTGGGGCTCCTTGTCACTCTCAGTGGTCCAACTGAACTTCTTGACCCTCAGCTCCTTCTCTCCCTGAACAAAGAGGTCAGTGGGTTATCCAACACACCCGAATAAGGATATGTATTGTGTGCTTCAAATTGTTAAAAACATAAAAAGTTGAATGATTTCAGTGTCAACTGCAACATCTTTTCCTTGTGGTTAAAAAAAAGAAGTTGCACTTGTCGTTGGGAGGGATTGTAGATATGATTAACTACAAAATTAAGATCATTATAGGTGGGGGGAAAAAGATTTAAATTAATATCAACAGTGTTTATTTAGCATATAAGACACATTGGAAAGTAAATACACATAGCAGCAGTAACCTCTGTTAGTCATTTGGAGTGTAACGGCATGGTGAAGCAAGCACATGGAGATTGTTTGAAGACAAGCCAAACAACAAACACAAAGCCCAGCTAATCAAAGTTCAGCCAGTCTAAGGTCAAAGACCCAGTAAACCTCTTTGTTTGCTCTGATCAGACTTTACTGTTGATCACTCAGTCAGCAGTAAACTACGAGCCAATCCCACGCAGACTCAGAGGCTTGAGTTATTTAATTTCAAAGTTATTAAATTTCAATTCATGAACTCAGTGGCATTTCAGTCTAACAGCACCTTTTAATTAAAGAGTAGGCCTGGGTGGATTAAAGGATTAGAGTCTGGAGAACTCCACAGACTGTTGCTGTAGTGGGAGGTTTAAGGGTCAGAGGCATTTTTGATCTTACAAAGAAGTCAAACAGCACTGAAGCTTTTTTTAACAATTACACAGAAAAAGCTTAGACAAGTGGAGCTCTTGTGCTGAAGTTGGTGCTTATGACTGTCCTTTCTTTGTTTGTTCTTGTTTGTTTGAGAAGCCTGGACTCTACAACACTGGAGGGAAGGCTGGAGTGTTCTCAATGAGAATAGTGGGAATAAAGAGAGTGACCTCTGCACCCTGATTTCATCATCCACAGCCAATCTCACCATCTCTTGGATTATTTATGAGGAAAACAATATGATAAATGAATGTATTCTGTCTTCTTGACGCCCATGTTACTGTTGTCATAGCGTGTGATTGTGTTAAAGTCAGTTTAATTTCAAATCTTTGTGTTTAATTATCCATTAAAATTTAACTTCATGTGCCTTGAAACAAGCATGTGCTGCGTGTCACTGTTGGCCCCGCCCACTAAAAAATGATCATCCAATAGAAATCGACGTTGAGTCTTTATTCCCACCCTCCCTGCTCGTGTTCCTGATGGTCGTGAGGAAGTTTTCTGCACTACACCGGTCACAGAGGTGCGAGTGAATGGCCTGACGCCTCGTTGTAAACAAACAGATCCGCGCAGACGTAATTGCGCAAGGATGGCAGACGCAGCCTTCCAGGAGGACACGGTGCCCGAGGAGGAGAAGGAGTTTCAGAGGATTATAGCTCTGATCGGAGGCAAAGAGAGGATTTATTTGGTGAGCGACGCCTGTAAGAGCAAAGAGGCGGATGGGGATGATAATGGAATAATGCAGGAGTTCATCCGTGACATGTTTCACAGCAGCAGCCCGATGAACAGCAACGGGCAGCGCCAAACCTCTCCGTCAAGCAGCCACGGCGACACCATGGCAAGTGGAAACCCCATTTCCGGCGAGGTTGTCAAAGGCAATGACATACCTCTCATAGCGAGGCCCAAGGATTTGGATTTGAGAGCCTGCCCGTTAGAAGAGGACGAGGAGAAGGAGAAGCGGCCAACGCGCAATGGCAACGCTCAGAGAATAGCAACGAGGAGGGCGAACATTTACAGCCTGAAGCGAACCATAGACTCTCCTGTCATCATATTCATCTTCAGACAGACATTCATCAGCAAAACTTCAAACGAGCTGTGCTTGAAAGAGACGCTGAAGGACGTAAAGGCACGCACGAAACGCGCCAGGATCGCCCGACCGGCTCTGATTGGATTAATACGCACCAGACAGGAGAGCGTCGAGACGCATCGATGCGCTGAACTCCTGGAGCGTCTGATCCGCTCAGTGTTCCACAAACAGTCACCAGAGACAATATGGGTGGGCTGCTTCATCCCGGAGACAGAGGACAAAATGCTCAGCATCAAGAAAAACGCCTGCAAAGTCATATACTCATCTCAAACAGCAGGTGTAATAACATACATTCACCTTAAGTAGTTTTACACACATCCATTCACAGCAGACATTTGACTACTATTCTTCTTTTCTGTTTGCTTAGACACGTGCTGTTTTATTTGCTCAACAACACGTCCCCATTTGTCAACATGAAGTTTGGACTGTGGCGTGTTTAAGCAGGGCAACATGAAGATTTGCATAAAATATTTGAGCGTAAAAATGGTGAACCACAGATTTTGACACTTTTAAAAACACTTAAATGTCGAGCCTACTATAAAGATGTCATCTACATAATTATCACCAAATGGAAATGAATTTGGAGATGAGAGAAGTTCATTTAGATAACCATAGAAACTAAAGGAATATAATAGTTATTATAGTGATACCTAAGTTATTAGCACCGTCACAGTGTACGTTCCCTGCAGGACTATTTTTAAACACTGTAATTTGTATTACTCCACCATGTAGGTCAGTCCACAACACTCACAAGACCACATATTTCTACACACAATTTTCTTCCCAGGCATGGCTACAAAGGCCCGGGAACAAAGGGAGCATTCATGAAACAATCAGGCCTTTAGATAAGCTGCCAAATTGTTAAACGCTTATTATTGCCTTTCAGATAATACCAGGGATAGAGGGAACCCGCTTTTCTGGCCATTCCAATGTTTGCGCTGGGCTCAGAGAAGAGGCCAGGCCAACAACAACGCTTCAGCCGGCAGGCAAGGAGGTACAGCAGCATTTTCCAAAAGTTCACTTTGACTGAACTATACAGGCATTTTAGTTCCCACGGAGTTCTTTCAACTCTCCTGTTCTTTTCTGTTATTTTCTTTACCCACTGTATACACCAACTTTGTCCTGATCAGGGTTTCCAGGGGACTGGAGGATACACAGATTACTGCATAGGCAAAAGGCATGGATACAGGTTGCCAGTCTATCACAGAGCCAACAGACGAACAAAGACATTCACATGTTTACTCTTCATGGACTTGTCTTTGGATCAGATTTCATGTAGTGATACACAAAAAACATCTGTAATGAAAGAAGCAGAAAAGACCAGTTTAGTCTCAGTGTACACCAGGCTAGGATTGCAAAATTCAGGAAATATTAAAGGTGGAAACTTTACATGAGAATTAGCGAGAATATATGGAAAATATTTTGCCAAAACAGTGACTTATCTCTTTAAGAAATATAAGAAATATTTTTGCACTTGCTATCACTGTGAACCCATCTTCATTTGGTATTATTTTATCGAAAAAAAATCCAGAAATTAATTTAAGATATTCAGGAAATCCCTGACTGAAAGAACCACATAAAGCAGGTTGGGAAAAATGGACGTGACAAAAAGAAAATCAAAACACTTACAACCAAAAAACTTCTGGAATGCACTGACCATCAGATTTATCCTATACACAAGAGTTACTGAGCCATGGCAGATGTTGTTTCAAGCAGGGACATACTTAAATCCCTCTGCAGCCAGATTGTGTCATCATATTAATTTTATTAAACTCACAGCAAGTAACAGTGTTTCCATTGTTCTGGGTTTTTTTTCTTTTTCAGGTGACACTGGAAGTCAAGAGGAGGGCATCCCTCTGAAAACCAATTCCCTGTCTGCAGGGCCTCATGTGGATGGAGAGTCAGCTGGAGGAGACAGCTGATGCCATGGCGCATGACCTGTGGCTGCAGGCGTATCACAGCAGACAATCCTGTTTTAATTGTGAGGTGCTACAGAGCCTTACTACATGTTACAGTCTTTCTTGCTGAGCCAACATGATTCTTGTCCTGAAGTAATAATTTGCTTAATAGTCAAATCTGTTGCTGCCTTGCTGATTTACACATTGTCTTTGATGCACAATGGTGCGTCAGTACGGGATTTACTGTGTATATCTGGTGCTGATTCAATTAACTGTTAATTTTTGAGGCCTAGATTGATATTTGTTTGGTATTTCAGTACATGTTGAACTGCCGTATGGCTAGGCTACAGTAGGAAACTTAAAGCAAATATACTCTTCTAACATGGTACATAGTAAAGTCTAGGGTTAGACTGCCAACTTGCCCCAGACTTCCTCAAAAAACCCAGGTTTGTTGTTTGTCATCTTGTTGGTGCTAATTTGACTGACAATTTGTTTGAGAATATTCATCATCAAATCACAACATCAACTGACACAAAAGGGGTCTTAAGTGGGGTCCTGCTTCATTAACAGGGGTCCAGCTGCTTATTTTTATACCTGTGAGACACCCCAGCATCCAGCCATGGTCAAGCAATGTGAATCTTTTTTTCCATGTTCATATATTAGAATTGTGTGCCTTAGATTGGTGCTATTGGCAATAGCATTATCTGCAGTAGAAATGGATGAAATTGCTTTTCATCCTTTACGTAGGTTATTTATGTAGGCAACTGGTTTGTACATTCATATAAATACTGTATGTAAATAAACACAGGTAATCTTGTGTCATTGTGACATTCATTGCCTATTCTTTCAAAATGAAAGTAGGATATTGCAAATGAGTACAAACTCATTAAAGGTCCCATTTTAAGCTCATTTTCGTGTAATTTAGGTTTCTACTAGAACATGTTTACATCAGGGTTCCCACAGTCACGAAAAGTCATGGAATTTCACAATTACATTTTTCCAGGATTGGAAAAGTCATGAAATTAGTAAAAATCATTTAAAATTTTGGAAAAATCTTGACATTTTGCTGTGTGTAATCAAATTGTTACAGTAATCTCCCATGGATAACTTTCCATGTAATGTAACACAACGCCTTTTTTTCTGTAGCTGTCTACTGAATGTAATATGCATCAATGTGTTACAACCATTTTGTTTACCATAAAAAAAATCAAATTTTGTTTGAATAGAGTTTGAATCTGATATGTTTGAAAAACGCTGGGCAAGTGGGGCAAGAAAAATGTACAATGGGTCCTTGAAAAGTCATGGTTAAGTTTTGAAATTTTGTCCTTGAAAATGTGGGAACCCTACTACATGCTTTAATATCCTAAAACACATTATTTGTCTCATACTGTCTTCTTGAATCCATCTGTATTCATCATCTGTCTTCTTCTGTATTCTCCGTCTGCTTCACCTTAACATCTCTTTACACCCCTCTCCTGAAAAAGCCCAGTCTGCGCTAATTGACCAGTGTTTGTGGGTCTTCCACATCAATGCTCTCAGTGTCTCAGCACTGTCACTGCAGGTGGGGAATGAGTGTAATGTCACTGTAGTGGCAGTTTCTATCTTGATAGTCTGTTTCATTTGCATTCCACTGCTAGGCAACAGCTTGGGTTGTGACATCACACATTTACAAATGTCCTGACAGCTTGTTCAAAGGCACAATTTCTGAATACAGACTGTGTGCATTTCTCTGTGGATTGAGCATTCACAGTATTAATATAGCACCAACACCTACTTTTTATTAAAAGACACATGGAGATATAACTTGCTACAATATAGGACCTTTAACTATAACTCTATTTATTTATATTACAGCCACATTGTACCTTTAATTTCCACAAATCTCATCTGCCCAGCAAACTGTGCATTGAAAGGCAAACGAACTGATTCACGATAGACCACATTGAGGAAAGCCGGTCCATTAATCGAATACGTTCAGACACAGTATTTACATAATTCCTTTTAAATGTGACTAAAGCGCGTAAAATAATCTTATATATCCTTAAGGTACTACGAATTGACTCAGCCCGCGAGGATACATGATAATTATTACAATTCTATGTATTTTTAATCAGGCGTAAACGAGGCCAGCCCAGCACGAGGTCCTTTAGAAGGGGACTTGCGGCATTGGACAAAAAGAAGGTAGCAGCGGCTACGTTTGGTTCCACAGTTTTGCATTTTCAGATACTACAAATCTTTCCTGTTCATTATATCCACGAAAAACCGCACGGAATTCCACCGTCAAACCAGCATCGAGGGGCTGAGGAGGCAATAAAGAGCCAATCATGATAACATCAGCCGGTAAGTCGTAGAAAGTGTTTTTATTTTGCTAGCCGCAACTTTAGCTAGCTGCCATTGATTTAGCTGAGTCACACAGCTAACGTAGCAATGTCAGTCAGTCGTTAACCGGTGATAGCTAACAAATCCACCAAAACAATTTTCAGGAGGTGATAAACATTTGTAATGTGTTTTTGGCATAATTGGGTGACGATTTTAATCTCTGCGAGGATGTTTTTAAATTCAGGAATTCATAATAAATGAATGTAATGGCAATGCTAACAGTCAAATCCTCACTGTAGCGTATCAAGACCTTAGCTATAACGTTACAGCTTTGATAATAAAGTGTTACAGTTCATGTTCATACTTCATACAGGCATAGGACTTTTTTCACCTTGGACATAATGATTAAAGAAACGTGTTGAAATTATAATATCCTATGTATAATTTTGTACCTTTTTACCCCCCAATGTCAGTGTAGTTGTGCCAAACATATTTCACTATTGACCCTGTTCAGCCTGCCATGTTAGTTACAGTATGTTTTTGATATCTGATTTCTGTGGCTATATGATTTGCAGGTGTAGTATTGAATAAATTAGTTGTCCTAGTACTAGTATACTTCCCCTTCAATTTTTAAAGTTATTTTTATTTTTGATTGGGTAAACCTTGAATTAAATGCACTTGACACCTTATGTCTGCCAAGAAGTTAATATGGACAAATATTGCAACCCTCATATGTTGCATGTACTCCAAAACATTAAAGTCACTGGCTGGTAAAGTGAATAACATTGACCATTTTGTTACAACACAATGTTCTGCAGGGAAACCTTGGATCCTGGCATTCATGTGGATGCCACTTGACATGCTCTGTCCATGCTTACACCATCACGTACCAAGCAGGACAACACACCATCCCACACCATAAAAACTGCTCAGTAATGGCCCGAGGAGCATGACAAAAAGCTCAAGGTGTCAACCTGGCTCCCAAATTCACCACGTCCCAATGTGTTCAAGCATCTGTAGAACATGCTTGTACCCCACCTCACAATCCACAGGACTCAGTATTCGACACCAAATGCCCTGGTGCCAGACACCGAAAGACACATCCCAGAGGTCTTGTGTTGGTGCCTCAACAGGTCAGAGCTTAGTCTGATCTGAGGAGGCCCCCTGTGTGGATTAGGGTTACCTCTAGGGTACCAGCATGCCCCACAAATACTTAGAGGAATTATGAGGCCAGGTCAGTACCTCAAGGCATTCCTGAGCAGTTTTTGTGGTGTGTTAAGGGGTAGTGTTAAAAGCAGTTGTATTGTGTCTGCAGCAGTATTTGGGTGCATAGAGCCTTGTCAGGTGGCATCCACAGTTTCCCTGCAGAACACTGCATTGTAACGAGACCATCAGTGTTGTGCACATCACCAACCAGTGATTTTAATGTTTTGGCTGATTCGTGTATGTTCCTTTGACTGCACTGAAATATATTATATAACTAGGGTGGCTTGTTTTGGAATGCTTGGATAAAGCAGTAGGTATATGAAGTCAAATAATGAAGCAACCACTCTCTCTTTTTTAGCTGGAATTATTTCACTCCTTGATGAGGAGGAGCCACAGCTCAAGGTAAGAACTGGTTGAATAATACTTGCAGATGGCAAACTTCCATAAAGAAATTATGTCATGTCATATCATGCCAAGTCAAACAGCATTCAGAATGATCGAGATCACATGTGAGTGTGTTTTTATGTATTTGTAAAAACATGTTTTTAGGACACTGGTTCCTGATGAAAAGTTACACAGTGAGCCAGTAACAAAGGTTTAAAGCTCACAAACACATCTATTAATGTACCGTTTGTCAGATTGAAGAGTGGCTCCTGCAGGTTTCCTTAGGGGGTTAAGGTGTGGTGTGATGTATTTATTTTTTTATTTGACTCCCAATGCAATGCTTTATGGGTAATGAAAACATGAGGCTATCATCTCTGTGTGCATTGAAATCCAAGCTTCAGATTTTATCATCGTAGTTAAGACAGTTTTGTGAAGTGCAACACATCTACATTCCAACAGTATAAGACCCAAATAATGGTGATAACACAGCTGAAGCTTGGTACTGACTGCACCTTAAACACAGTTTCCTCCATGGGTCCAACTATTGAAGATATTAAGTAAACTAAGCTGGAGAAATGGTATGTAAATTGTGTATCTGTAATACCTCTGTTTCCCTTGCAGGAGTTTGCTCTGCACAAGCTAGATGCCATTGTGAATGACTTCTGGGCAGAGATTTCGGGATCAGTAGATAAAATGTAAGTACCATTGGTGAGCTTGGACATTATAATAGAGAAAAGGATGTTACATTGGGCAGCAGCAACTTCAGCTCTTAGTTTTATTTTTTCTCTGTCTGCAGCACAGAGAACAAATTACAATAACCCAAAGTAGGTGCAGACACTGTATGCAGATGAAATGTAGCAGGGCAGTGCAGTGTGCAGCTTGTCACAATTTAAGAGTTTGCTGCTTAGAAACTGCTCCGTGGGATGGGGGAAAGATAATTTAGATGTTGCAGGTCCAATTTTTTAGTCTTATGTAACAATCTGTGTGTTGTGTACTCTCAGTGAGGTCCTGTATGAGGATGAGACGTTTAGGAGCAGAGCCTTTGCTGCCCTGGTGGCCTCTAAGGTTTTCTACCACCTCGGAGCCTTTGAGGAATCGCTGAACTACGCTCTTGGTGCTGGAGATCTCTTCAATGTCACAGATGACTCCGAATATGTGGAGACCATCATTGGTGAGTGATCAAATAAAAAGGCTTGACCTCTTGTTTTTTTTTTTTTTTTTTTTATTATTATTATTTGCCTGGCTCCTCTGTGATAATGTGACATTTTTGTTGTTTGGATGCTGCGGTGACCCTGATACTCTTAACAGTGTGAAGTCAATGGCTTTATTGGGGGAAAAAAATGCATACCTCCAGCTTAGAAACTGCCAGGGCTTTTTGGTGGTCAGAATCAGAAATACTTTATTGATCCCCGAGGGGAAATTATTTATGTTACAGGTGATCCTTGCAAGAGAGGAAAGATACATGAAAATATAAGAAATTTAAACAGGAGTATTAACAAATATATAGTTAAATAAACAGGAATTATTAACAAACATAAACGTAAATAAATATATACAGTACAGGCCAAAAGTTTGGACACACCTTCTCATTCAATGCGTTTTCTTTATTTTCATGACTATTTACATTGTAGATTCTCACTGAAGGCATCAAAACTATGAATGAACACATGTGGAGTTATGTACTTAACAAAAAAAGGTGAAATAACTGAAAACATGTTTTATATTCTAGTTTCTTCAAAATAGCCACCCTTTGCTCTGATTACTGCTTTGCACACTCTTGGCATTCTCTCCATGAGCTTCAAGAGGTAGTCACCTGAAATGGTTT